CATTTCGATCTTACTAGAATGATTCTATTTGTAACTATTTTTTTTTTACTTTAAATATTTATTTTCAGCTATCAACTTATAACTCATATTCAGAGGTAAACTTAAAAAAAAAAAAATTACAAAACTTTTTTGTACCTTTCTTTGCCTTTCGACAACACAGGTATTCATCTGCAACCGAAATCCGGATACGTAACTAAAGTATTTCATCATTGGTTATAAGTGGTAGGTTATTAGCTTAACGATTTCCAAGGGATCGCAAACAGGTTTAATGGTAATATTTTAACAAATCTGTTCAAAATTTAAATTTGTTAGGATACATTTATATTAATAAGCACTTTAATTTATATGGCGCAAAAATAAATATTCAAAAAAATCATTTTCAACTCAATTATAATGCTATTGGTGTAATATAATGCTTTCATGGAAATGGATGATATAAAATTACTAAATATGTCTATGTAAAGATAAGATATTTTTATTGGTAGGTAAGTAGAGTTTTTATGTATATATATATATATATATATATATATATATTTACCAATGGGGGATTCTAAACTTTATATTTTTAACGTTATAATTTTTAAGCAAAAATATATATTTCTTTAACTGATTTTACGATTTCTATATCCTGTGGAACGGCAAGTACTCATTTTGTACTTACTCTGGAGTCCCGATCTCCCTTATAGCGATGGCGGCTTACACCAAAAAAATATATTGCTAGTCTTAAAAATCGTGCAAATGATTATAACAAAAATAAAAAATCTCTTCCTACTCAATTATAATGCTATTGGTCCTAGCTTTGACGGAAATGAATGATGTAAAATTACTAAATATGTCTATGTAAAGATAAGATATTTTTATTGGTAGGTAAGTAGAGTTTTTATATATATATATATATATATATATATATATATATATATATATATATATATATTTATTTATTTTTACCAATGGGGGCTTCTAAACTTTATATTTTTAACGTTATAATTTTTAAGCAAAAATATATTTTTTTTAACTGGTTTTACGATTTCTATATCCTGTGGAACGGCAAGTACTCATTTTGCACTTACTCTGGAGTCCCGATCCCCCTTATAGCGATGGCGGCTTACACCAAAAAAATATATTGCTAGTCTTAAAAATTGTGCAAATGATTATAACAAAAAAAATGTAAAATTATAACAATTTTAGTTTAGTTTTCCTATGTTCCTTCGATGGAACCTTCACCTCAATCGATACCTCACAAATGATTCCGCCAATAATTCATAATTTTTTTTTGTCCTCATTCTTTGCGTTTCAGGCTATACGCGATTTTACCGAGGCAGAGGTGAGGGCGGGGAATTATTGCAAGTTAAAAGCCCTCCACCTTCCGCCTTTGGGACGAAAACTCGTCATTATTTCATCAAATTAACTTCCATCTGGTTGTCGGGCAACACTGAGAACACGCGTTAGCCTGTTCGACCACCCTTTCTCTCAGAAATTCATAACCGAATGAATATGAGACTTATCAATTATCCCGTAAAAGTGCTCCCTCAAAAATATTGTTGCCAACCTCCTTCTAGACTAGATCAACCGCCTTCTGGACACCTCTACTTTAACTTACCTATACTTATAATATATATAAGAGAAGGTGTTGTGAAAAATTTCTCATCCAAGTTTTCAACGGAAATGTATGTCCAATAAGCAGGTCTCTCAAAATGTTCTGTGAATGTTTGAGTCTAGCTTTATATATACAATTTTAAACGACTCGGTTGATTTTGGTAACACTCATTATATCAATGTACAATTATTTTTTCCTTTCAAAGCAACCCTTTGAAAGGACTGTTTATCATGGTGCATTCCATACATTAATGGAGCTATTATATTTATATACATTATTATATTATAGATACATTTAATGGTCTTTAGTGTCGGCGAGATCTTATTCTCGTTGAAATGGTATGTAATTTTCAAAAAGTATTCATAGCAATACAATTTACTAGTAGAAAAAACTCCTACGACATTGTTTCTTTAAGAAACTGATTATTGATTTATACATTAATAAATCATAAAATATTAGTCTCAAACGTTAAAATTAACAGTCTTTTTCCTCGTGTCACTGAATCTGTTTACACTATCTCTTTATCTGTTCGGATGATCGCGAAGTGCAATGCAGCAGAAATAAATAAAATGAAAATCCAGCTGACGTCTTCTTAAGAAATACGGCATATCTTAGACTCCAACACATCTAACCAATAATAGTAATCGATTGTTGGTGCTGACAACCTTCAGCTGATTACGGCTCTGATATGGTCAGTTCTTATTGTAAATTAATTTTTATTCACCATCCTCCTTTCAAACAGTTCTTATCCTATCCTATCCTTCTCTTATAACGAAGGAATACGTTGCTCCTTCGTAATCCAAAGGATTCAGTTTCTTTCTATCAAAAGTTTGTTTGTTTTGGAACATAAATTAACTAATATAAGGTGTGGTAACTTTGAGACAGCGGGTAAAATTTCGTTTGTGATGATTCCGTGGTGGATACACTGTGTTGGTTCAGTCTGCATGGACAGAGCATGTACTGCGCTACTACCTTGTGGCACACTGCTTCCTCTTGAGGATTAAGCGAAAGTTTCATCAAAACATGAATTTTGAAAAAGTAATGAAAGTAAATAAAACCTAACTGCACAAAGAGTGTAATGAAATAGAGTTCTCATACTGCCGCAAGGTAGTAGCACAGTACATGCCTACACAAAGCACGTTTTTGCAGACTGAACCAACACTGTACCCACCAAGGAATGACCACAAACTAAATTTTACTTTGGTTAAAATTTAGTTTGGTTAGATCAGGTCCAAACTTGATACGACAACATTTTAAAATCCCATTCAATATGTTTTTATGTCTTCTGAGTAATGTTTAAAAGTTGGTGTTTCTCATTTTATCAGTCGTTTTTTTCGAAAATCTAAACCACACAATCGACTTGAGTTGCAATCATAGAAATATTTATATATATTTGTATATATTTAAAGGAATAAAATCTATTGGCTATTTATTTCAAAATGAAGAAAGTAAGTGCGCATGTGTGCTATGACCTGGACGCGGCTATGTATACATTAGAGCTGTCCTCTTTTAGTCACAAGGTCTATTATCATGGAAAAGTCTCAACACACGGACCATAATATGTTTCCAGAGAGGTGGCGCCCTAAACCAAAACTCGCTAACACAATGAATCGTAGTTCAGGAATTATTTAAGTTGCACCACTTCGCATGGCCATACATATTTAAAATAATATTTATTAGGCAGCTAAATGTTAAAGCTTAATGAAATCCCCATGGCCCTAAGTCCAAAACTAGTATATTTAAAAGTACTGCACAAAAGGACTAATGAAAGAATGTACATTATAAAACGGCATTTTTTTTTATTTGAAATTTATAATACCTCTAAGAAAGTTACGGGCGGTAAGTCGTTTAAGAGTATCGGGTAGTGACCATCTAAAATTGCTCCATGGGAACATTACGTACGTTATAAATACAAAGGAAGTCTGCAAGTGGTGCGGCGAACTTATCAATAACGGTTTAAAGCACTTGATGCTTGAGTGTTTGTTTCTAGAGACAGATAGAAGGAAATACCTATACACATATACAGGCTGCCACAGATGATTCATCACCGGATTGTGTGTTGGATATAAAAAATCTTGACCAGTTGGACAAAATATTTTATTATAAGTGTATGTGACTCTATCAATAAAAGTACAAACCATCAGCTTTAGGTCAGTCAGGCATGTGTTCATATGTCCCTGCGAGTACGTGTATTTATTCACAATTTGGGGGCCTTTTTAATATTATTATTATTAATTGTACTATTCTACATGTGCGTTGTAATCCTAAGATCTCTGCTACCTGTTTTGCTTTGTTATGTTCTGTATAGTAAATATTCTTTAGTATACATGTATTTTTATTCATTTATGATATCTCATTTATGATATTTATTATATAAATATATTTATATACAAATAGTAAAAATATTTATGATGTTTGTTATATAAAAATATTTTTGTTTTTGTCTTCTTGTACTGTACTTAATCACTTATTTTCTTCTACTTATAAAACTAATCCCTACTAACACTAAATGGGCCAGACTCCATGGCTACGATGTATATTGAGCCAATAAAATGTTTCTATTCTATAGTTGATTTTTTTTTTTTTTTTTTGGCAATTTATTTAAATTTCAACATTTTGAATTTTGCCTCTTATATTCCACGTTAAAACATAGGCTTAAATGACACCAAGACAACCGAAGCAACGCATTGGGGGCGTAGGGGGGTATGATTTGAAAATATATTTGAAATAAAAGTAATTTTAGCTCCAAAAAAATTCCAAAACAATTATCGTCAACCATCTCTACATGAGTATAATTATTATACTCATGTACGGATGGTTGGCCGTGATATAATATGAGAATGAGTTGATCGGGGAGTGCGGTCAAATAAATACTAAATTATAGAAATAGTATTATTTAATTATAATGCCTATTATATTAGTATATAAGTGCTAATAATATTAGTAGGAATTCGTTGTTAATTGTGATTAGCCCTTCAGTGTGGCAGACTGTATTAATACACAAAGGGGGCGGGGTGGCCGAATGGGCTAAAGTGTGTGCATAGCCTGGCAACCGGATAACAGAGATTTAAGATGATTTAAAAAGTACGAGTTCGCGTCCCGGTGCCGGAAGGGATTTTAAATTCCCCGCCCTCATCCTCCTGCCCGGGAAAATCCCGTATAGCCTATAAGTCGAGGTAGGGAAGAACAAATAAAAAAATACTCAATAAAAGTTAAAAAAAAAAAAATTGTGATTCATTCAAACTACCATTTAGAATGGTCTAGTTTCTTTGGATCTTTATTTAATTTTTTTAAAAGACTTAATTTAAATTGATTAATTAAATAGATAATTAAGGACTTAACTAGGTTTTGATTCCCGTAATCGTTGAAAATATTATAAGTAAAATAAATAAGTCAAACATACCTCAGCAAAGTTTCCATTTTGTCCGGCCTGATGTAAACGTCATCATCTGCTCGAAGGAACCACTCATAGCTGTTACCATAGCGCTCCCACATGTACTGGAGCATTAAGAAGGACTTCTTCTGCGGAGGGTAAGAGTCATCGACACCAGGGAGCCGGACGAGCGGCAAGAGGGGGTCATTGGGAGGCGGTAAGGAATCGTAGGAGGAGAAGAACTCTATCCTCCCGGGCACCTGCTGGCCCCAGGTACGGTGGACCGCGGCGGCACGGGTGGGCAGGTACTTCTTGGCGGTCATGACGCCGACGAAGAGGAGGTCCCTGCCGCCGGGAGAGGGGGGGAGCTGGGGGCGGTGGTTAGGGGGCGGCAGGGGCTGCCCAGGGGGGGCGCACCCCCTGGGCCCCAGCCCCCTCCCCAGGAGCAGCCCCAGCAGCAGCGGCGGCAGCAGCCCCAAGGCCCGGCGCCGCCCCACCATCACATGGTCTGCCTCGTCGTCACCGCATCACAGTCCCTCTCGATGTCTCCCCTCCTCTTCGGCTGCACTCTGCAAAAGAAGATCAGGATCAGACAATCATACTGTACACATCTTAGTCAGATATAAATGGATAATGTAGCATAATACGTGATGATAGAAGAAATCAGAAATAGATATAAATGAATAATGTAGCATAATAAGTGATGATAGAAGAAATCAGAAATATCTAAGTAACAAAGTGATGATGGTTAGAGATACATACAAGAAAAGTATTATGAAACCTAACTTTTAAATAGTATAATTCATTTAGAAGAATGTATAAAGAATCCTCTTTGGTTACTCCATTGACAAAAGTGATCTGTTTGAATCTGTAAAACCATTTATTTTGTTTAAGTTTGCATGTCAGTTATTTTAATTAGAATCTAGTTTCATGGGCTACATAGATACATCTGATAATAGCAGCTCAGTGATACCTTGCAGTTACTATTGATAGATTTATTTATTATTTATTAGTTACAAATATTTCTGGCTCACAATAAATTTGCCATCAACTTCGGTATTCAGCAAATATGATATCAAGGAAAATAAAAAAATAACACACAAAAAAGATGATACAGCAAGTCGCTCAATTCAATAAGTCTCTTGGCCAGCGCCTCAGCAGTCTTCTGGGCGAATTATATGGATTTGTAGCAGTCGATAAAGCCTGAGTAAGTGGATTTGAATTTAGTATCAGTCTGTCATGAAAATTATTAAAGCGGTCAGTGGCAGTTGCCGTGATAAAAGAAGTGTTAAGGTCAGTGTGTAACGTAAGTTTTGAAACAAAAAAGGGTGCGTCTACAATTTTCCGAAGGACTTTTGATTGGAACGACTGGATGATTTTTATATTTGATTTCTTTGCTGTTCCCCATAGTTCGATTCCATATGTCCAAAGTGGTTTAATGAGGACTTTGTATTAATGGTTAATTTATTAGTAACAGATAATTGATAGATTAATGTCCATTAATTGAACCTTGGAGTAGTGGAACCGAATCAAACGTATTCTGATAAGGACAGACGCGCCGCCATGACCGAGTGCCATTGTGTTTCAGGTCCTGGAGAGACCATTAGTATTCTCGATGAGGCCTCCTCTCTTCGACCAGTCATTGTCCCTGCCCCAACGGCACACAAAGGCTTTATTGAGGAATACTGTTATCGCGACTGTTAAGGAACCCCATGGGTCCTGTGTAGTGTGTGCGGATTGTAGAACGGGGATTGTTAGGAATGATGGGAGAGTCCATTATATCCGCGGGAAGTTGCAGAAGAGATGTAACAGAATGTGATGTGGGCTTAGCATTAAACGACTTTAGCTACCATGACCTATCGAACACCTTTGGGAAGCAAATTTAAATTAAAGAGTAGGGAGCACTTGCGGATCCAGGATTTAATTTCGGGGGGCTTAAGCCCAGAAGCATTTTTTTCATATATACATATATAACGATAATTACTTTGGAAAAACAAAAAGATGCTAGCTAGCTATATGAAATGGTGTTTAAGTGATACTTGAAGTCCTATTAAATGTAATTAAAAGAGCAATAATACTTTAAGACATACTTTTTTAATATTTTTTACCATAAAGCATGGTTACATTTTGTCATTTTGCCGAAAGTCCCTTCCCCCGTAGATCCGCCTGTGGTTGCTAGCATCGAACAAGAATGGGTATATGAATCTAACGAAATTATTCCAAGATACTGAAAGGAATGTAATTATAATTAGTTTGTATAAAAGCAAAAATAACTAAATTGATATTGTTAGGAGCATTGAGGTTCAGAAAATCTGTCCAGCGGTGGCCATCCACCACTAAGTCCGATGCCTCATGACTGCTCTCTCTCACTCTAACTCTCTCTCTCTCTCTTCTCTCTCTCTCCAAAAAAATTTACTGTTTTTCCCTTCTTCAAAAGAAGACAAAGAAGAATTGTAAAATTGTAGTTTATATATGAATTTAGTTGCTCCAAATTAAAAATTCACAAAAATAGGGTTTCTTCCAAAATCCATAGCCGCGTCACAATGTGCCCTTTCCCCCTAAAAAATTCAAAATACTGTAGAAATGTACCCCATTCAAAAAATTTGATAGCGCGATTCGCGCCATGCTACCCTCTTCTTGTCACACTTCAAACTGTCTAATTATAATTTTTGCATTGTTATTTAATCTTTGGTAATTTCTTTGTGGAAAAGCTTACGATAGAAATTTAATAAACATAAATGCCGGTGTATTCAATTTTATTATTAGAGATAAAATTTTCGAATAAATTAATATTATTTCATAATTCAAAAAAATTAAAATATTTTCCATTTAGCCCCATAAAGAAATAAAAAAATTGATTTTGGTCAGCAGCATGAGTGCCATGCTTGTCACAACAACTTATATATAATTATTCTAATATTATATTTTATAATATAATGCTGTATATAGTTACATATAATATAATATTAATTTATATTATATTATAAAGACATACTGGAATATCTTCACTTGTAAAACTATTTTATTTTAAAATATTTCTTTTTTGTTGCATTGATATTTATTGTATTATTAATTATTGGTAATTGTATTATGCACACATCATCTAACATGTTAGACACAACATAAAGAGTATCATTGTTTTATTTTTTACAGATGGCTTCAAAATGGCCGGTATAGCCGAAACGTCGCCAGTGTAAAAAATAAAAAAATAGTGAAATACATATAGCCTAAACCTTTTATTATACCGAAAATATTTCGTAAATATTGCATGTAAAAGTTGTTGAAACCAAGGGAAAGGTCGTGATCTAAACCGTTGTATAGTATTTAACTCTTGGTTGAAAGAGAAATTTCTTCGGCTAAAATCCAACTTTTATTTTAGGAAAAAAATAAGCTTTTTTTTTTAAGTACCTCGGTGGAATTTATCGGATCTATGTGTGCCAAGGTATCTGTTGGTGACGTATTTTCGCTTGCACTGTCGCTTATCAGCTTAAAATAAGGTCACCACTTTTTTTTCTCTACTTTGCGGTGACGAAAAATCTCGGAAAGTTGTTCCTAAAGGATCAAAACGGGTTTTATTTCTTTCTTTTTTTTAAAATATATTAATTCAGTTTTGAAAAAGGCAAATATGATCAAAATTATATAATGAAACAAAATGAGTTTTTTTTTTAATTTTTATAACCTAGGTTTGGAGTTCAATCCTCGTCCTTTTGAAAGTATAAATGAGTAGATAATTGAAATAATATAAATATATTGGAAATCGAAATGAGGCAAAATTCATAATTTCCTGCGTCAAATATCTTAATGTTTGGACTGGTGAATAACGTCCAAGAATACCAGAACATACCAATAGAGACAGTAACTGGTCATCCAGGACTTAGATCAAGCCCAAAAAGAAAAACCAGGAGTTGTTCGTACATTCTGGATATGCGATATAGGGCGTTTTAGGGAAAAACGGAAAGGCTCCCCTAAAAATAGAAATATATATATATATATATATATATATATATATATATATTTTCAGTGGTCCATATTTGTTTCTTTTCATGATCTGAGCTAAATAATTAAGCAATCAAAATATGTATCCTTTTTAAATTATAACATCGAGAAAAAAAAACTATTCTTAAAAGCATTATTACCCAGCTTAAACAGGCCTTCAAGAACCATCTGTTATTATACATAGTTTCTGTATTTTTCTTCCAAAGCAATTACCGTTATTAAAAAAAACAAATCCAACCTCCCCCAAAAATTAAATCCTGGATCAGCTACGGGTACAGGCTGTGTGTGCGTTACCGATTTCAACAAATTTTACTCTGGGACTAAAATCCCCTTAGAATAACAGCAGAAGTTCAAAAAATATATACATCAGTCTGGCATGTAGATATAATACAAATATATACAAAAAATACTGAAATAAAAATAAACTTTTGGCAAGCAATTATAATTATATAACCTCCAAATTCATACAAGCTTGCGGAAGTTTGAATGTGTAGTAGAGTAGGTAGAGGAATAGGAGTTGTTTGAAGGAATTTGTTGACATGGTTTGACGTATGGAGATAGGTAAGGAGTTCCAAAAGGAGCTAGCACGAATGACGAAGGATTTGCTGAAGCAAGTAGTTTTATGGGAGGGGATAAATAAATCTATAGGACGAGATCTGATATTGAGAGAGTGGTAGAGGGACGTAGAGTAAGAAGTTCTAAGATGTAGGGAGGGTTTTTGGTTTTGAGGACTTGGAAAAGGGAAATACCAAGAAGGAATTGCTATCGAAAAGTAGGATAGAACCAGTTCAACTCGGTGTATACAGTTTGGTGAAAAATATTACTCACATATCCCGGCGTTTGTTCCAATGGGCTCTAGAACCCGAGAAAAAAAAATATTTTATATGATTTTAAACAAAATTAATATTATGTATTTTTGCCTTTGCTTTGTCCGAATTTTTTAGGTTACTATACAGTCCATTTACTTCTTTCTTTTGTGCGTGTGCAGAATAAGAAAAAATATTGACTATTGTATTAAATGAGTTATAATGTATAATAAATTACAAAAAAAATTGTTATTAAAAACAAGTTAGAATCGTTTTTAGTGTGTTTTGAAACTCTTAACTAGGATTTTTTATTGAAATAAAAAATTTCAAAATTTAATGCTAGATTTTCTTAAGAGGATTTTTTCCCCTGCCAATGACTAAAGCATTCATAAATTCTCAAGATTTTCTCTAATATTTTTTTGTGTGGATCGGTAGAGATTTTAAAGTTGACCAAATTTCGAAGGATCGTGCAGAAAATTTTATTTTTTCGATTGATACAAAAATTCGTATTTAAGAATTTTTGAGGTGCGAAAAACAAATATTAACTTTGTTTCTCCCTTAAGAAAAATATTTACTCTAGATACTAGACCGGATTTGAATAAATATTACATTTGGCAGATAGCTACAATTTGGACCAACCAATGTAGAAATGTGGTTATAATATTATAATATATGTAATATATTCGTATATATTATAATATTATTCATTATGCTCGTTTGACCTTTTTTTCCATCTGCCTATTGGTCAGAAATACAGTAATCAAAAA